GGGGCGGGGGGCGGGGCTATGAAACGGGGGCCAAACACGCCTCGGTCGGTCACCAACGAACAACACGATGAGGTTTTTGCAACCCGGAAAGCGAGACTTCGGTACTGTGAGCAGCAAAATACAACGAATGGAAAATTGTTCAGTGTTTTGCTGAATCGAAGTACTCGAGTTTGGCAGCTCCCCCACCCCCCATTGCAAAGTGAGTTAACTCGTGCTGGCGTTACCCCTGACTGGACTGCATGTGGCACACTGGCCGAGCGGCACCCACACGCGTCGCTTACTTCCCATTGTTGGGAAAGAGCTTGATTGAGATGATTCTGTGAGCGTGCAAACTTTTCCCGCTGATTTGGCTAGTGCTGTGGAGGTTGCTGTGCCCGATTGGTGTAATCTCGAAAGTCCCCCCGTCGTGTGCAGCGAGACCAGCGAGGCAGTCCAAACAATACTTGTATCATATCGAGCAAGCTTGAGCATGACGCTCGGACCCCTGGCAACTGATGCTTGGCTTTCGTGTGTGCGCTCATTTAGGTTTCACCTCCCCATTGGAGCACATACACGAAGGGACTATCGCCCTAAGTGTTCGCCACCATGTCACCGCTCGCGGCGGCAGCGATCCGCAGCATTTTGGTGTCTCTGAACCTCAATTGATTGGATTGACCATGTCCTCTTGCGGCGCCCCCAAGAGGCGTCACACCGAGCTAACTCCCGATGTGGGACCTTGTAACATACGAGCGCGACCAACCCGGTCAACCAAAAGCTGTGCTGCCTATCAGTATGGGCCCTATAGCGGGTAATCGGAGTTATCGGAAACCACGTGCGTTTCAAGCACATATTTGGGTGGGCACCCACAGCTTGCCGCAGGCAGTCTACCGATGGGTTGTGCCGGCAATAAAAAGATTTGGCAACTCTGTAACAATCGTGGGAAGATGGAGACGTGAATGCATTTAGCCGACTGTGGCGCTTGAGTCTTGGGCGAATTCCCGTGTACGTGCGCACGGAGGTCTGTCGTGATCAACACACTCATCCCCGTCCCTCACCCTCCCAACGTATTGCATCTCGCCACTTTATAGATGAGGATAACAATGCGCAGGATGGTTCGGGACTTCGACGAGACGTGGGCTCCGCCGAAGATATGGATGATCTGAAGGATATGCACAAGATGTTGCCAGAGTACAAGGATGCGGAGTGTGTGGATGGAGTCGACCCTCAGTTCCTCATCGACGCGCTCCGCAGCAGACACTTTCCTTGGCGGAATCTCACGGAACAGCTGATCGGCGTGTGGGCTGTGACTCATCGGCCCTCGCGAAAGTCTTTGCAAATTCTCCTGGATCTGCTCAGTTTTGTCGATCGACAAGGCTGCGGGTTCCGCCCGGAAGATGTTCCTCGTTCGGCCGAGCACCTCACCAGTCGGATGCGAAAATGACAGCCACAACTCCCGGTTATCGAGCGAACGATCAAAGACAAGAACGGCGAAACTGCGAAGGCGATCGACATCCCTTTCAACCTTCTGCTTCAGCGAATGCTTTCCTGCCCACGCGTAGTCGAAGAATGGCGCAAGAATTTTGGCGGGCACGCCATGTCACGTAGCGAACGCGCCGAAAACAACGTACCCGACGAACACATCACGCCGGTCGCTACGGAGCTAGCGAACAAGGTCTACGAGACTTACATGAACGGCGAACTCGTTCGATCCTTCTCTCACATGGGCCTCGAGTGTGTCACGGCTGGAGATGGGGTGCGGGTGATGGTCGGTGACACCATCATGGCCCGCGTGCCTGAATGCGGCACGCCCCAGCCATGCAGGTTAGCTGCTATTTTCTGGCGGGAACTTCAGAAACGAGACAGAAGATATCTTCAGCTTGCAGGAGGGGGGCCGGACTTGGCGGAACGGTGGGGCTCCAGGATGAAGACGATAGCAGTAGCGAGTCCAGCAGTAGCAGCAGCAGCAGCAGCAGTAGCAGCAGCAGCAGCAGCAGCAGAAGCAGCAGCAGCAGCAGTGACGGCAGCAGCAGCGAGGACGGCAGCAGTGAAGACGGTGGCAGCAACGGCGGCGGCGGCGGCGAAGACAGCAGCAACAGCGGCAGCGCGGACAATAGCAGCAGCAGAAGCGGGGACAACGGTAGCAGCAGCGAGGACAGTAGCATCGACGGCGGAGCCACAGGAAGAACCATTCAGGCCCAATGCCGGAGAAGCGGCCGTGTGAGAGGGCGAACCTGGAAGGGGAAAGCCTACGCGGAGACTTTGGCGGCTAGTGTGACTCAGAAGGGAAGGAGAAAAATCGCAGGGGAAGCGGCCGACCCCGATGGCAGATGCAGCAGCCCGGAGGAGGGCATGGGTAGCAGCGAGGGTCATCTCGTTGTCCGTGTCAATCGCCTCCTATCGAGGCGTGAGGTGGGCCATTCGTTCGCAACTACGCGTCGACGCGAGGAGAAGTACGAGCAAGTCTGGGAGCTCACGAACGACCCACTGGAAATACGGGTCGGGGCGATTTCGGGGCTTTGTTCGGTCCTTGTACCTGGTGATACATCCGAACCATCGGATGGTGACGCTGTGCCTGCATATTGCGGGGAACGCTTCGTTGAACAGACCCCCCGGACAAACGAGCTGCGGTTGGCGATGGCACCTTGGAGGAAACAGGGATACCACGGTTGGTTCTTCGATCGGAGAGCAAGCGGAGTTCACGAGGACCTGGCGGGGCTCCCTGTGTTCTCCGTGCAGCTCGGACGCCTTCAATTACTTTAGCCTGAGCGGCAGAAAGCACAGCGTGAGTGCGACTTTCGTTGGGTTGGGGTGCTTGTCGCCAACTCTTCTACGACGTCTTCGATCTTGGTACCTGGCTACGCTCGGGTTGCCGGGCGCGGCGTGGGAGTTGGACATCTTGCCTCTCATGGAAATCATTCGCTGGCTTCAGAATGGGTGCAAGACAGAGATTTCGATCGGGGACAAGCAAACCGTGACGGTGAGTTTTGCTAGTGAAGTACAAATCGTAAAGGGCAACGGAGGTTCAAGTGGTGTAGAGGTTGGCGCAGATCTACATCATGCCCCCCCCCCCCCCCCCCCCCCCCCCCCCCCCCCCCCCCCCCCCCCCCCCCCCCCCCCCCCCCCCC